ATCAACAAAGTGAGTATTTGTAATTCAACTTTTATCAACAAAGTGAGTATTTGTAATTCAACTTTCATCAACAAAGTGAGTATTTGTAATTCAACTTTCATCATCTGAAATTATAATTTGTAGATATTTAAAGTTTTGTGGTGATTTTAATCCACCATGTTCAATATGAGTCCCACGCAACATGTGAGAAATACACTACAAACATGAAGTTCTTTCTCATAATGTATTGCATATATGTTCAGTAGCTAAGGTAATTCAGCTCAAAGCGACATCCTTATAAAGCATTCCAAGAATTCAACAGTAGACAAAGAAATCAATAATTATTAAATTTTACGTGGGAAGAATAAATAACTGCAGATACGAGGCAAAACATTATTATTGATTTTCAGACTACTTAATGATTTGTTACCGTGGTAATATATCCGATCTTCAATATTTTTCTCAAACCTAGCACATAAGCTTAGAAAGACTAGTGATCTGACAATGCCCACAGTAAATAGCATCCCCACAGAGATAAGACAGCCATTAATAACATACCAGTATGCATCGCCTGTCTTAATGTAGTTCACTCCGCAACAGGAGACATAATCTCAAGTCACATTACATTTTCTAGATGCTAGTTAGACATCTATTATACTACAAAGGAAATTGTAAAGAAGAAAAGAGCAGTGCTGCTCGTTACAGTAACTGAGATTTCATCTTACATTGGTAGCCATTTTGAATAAATGTCAAATTTATGCTTGAAAATAATAATTGCAATTTGAGTTGGGAGAGAAGAGTGAGACAAGGGTGAGATTTCAGATTGACGTTGTGTGATATATTTCTGCCTGGATCGTTAACAAGGTTTAATGTAGTTTAGATGACATATGTCATGTAGAACATGGGACTCCCTGTAGTGGTGTTTCCTGTGTAACACATTGATCATAGGCATCCACTGTGAATCAACTAGTCATTCCATTAATTAACAACACTCAATTCCAACAATGATATGTTTTTCTTCAAGAGGTCAGTGCATACACTGCTAATCACAGAAGTTATCATACATTTTTCAAAAAGAAACAATGCAAATAAACCAGAATAAAACACAGAAAGTTAATCTAGAATAATGTAAGCTTTATTTTCACTGTACAACACTTTTCAACAATATATGCCAAGTTATATTAATTTTTAATGAATTTTCCATTTTAAATAATTCACATATATGCCTCACAATACTTTTTTAATTCATGTTTTTTACCAAATCCTTTACATAATTCATTTGTAGAAAATATTTATTTATTTTTTATCTCTGTTCCCTTTTATTACAAATTTGACAAATTCCTACATAGAAAACATTGATTAGTTACCCATGAAATTGAATTTATTTAATAAGTGTAGTAATTTCTATATGTTCTAAACCTCTGGTGAGGAATATGTGAAAATTACAACACAAGTCACGGGTGATGAATTTTGATTTTCTTTTTTTTCTCATTGCAGCATTGCAGTTATTTTACTGACTTACACTAAAATCAGAATAATAATTTGTGGGTCAGTTCAAAGTTTTACACTGTGTCTCAGTTGCATACAGAAACACATATTTGAAATATTTTTACTTTCCATTTATCTACTTCAATTAAAAAACTATATTTATTTTGCTTGAAATACATTATATCTTGTAATTTACT